GTTGTGCTGTCAGGGGGTGTTGTAGGTGCAGCATTTTGGGGTGTGGGCGCAGCTGTGTCCTGCGGGTTTTGTCTGTTGTGCATGAGGGTGTCACATGCATGGGACTTCACATCGTGCAAGACCCCAGAAATTAACACCCCAAAAGGCAAAATTGGATGAATTCTGTCATATTTCACCCCAAACTCCCTACAAAGATCCCCTGCAGCTCTGTGAGCAGTGAGGGTGCTGGTGAGGGTGACATGAGCACGATGACATCAGCACAGGCACCATGACATTGCCATGGGTGCCATGACAAGGACAAGGATACCAGAATGCCTTGGCTTCAATTTTATTGCTCTGCTGGAGGTTGACATGACCTTGACCTTTGCAGTAATGTCCTCAGTGACAACGGTGGCAGTGCTGGTGTCCCTGTGCCCCACTCCCCTCAATTCACCTGGAGGAGAAAGCAATGTCCCAAAAGGAAGAACCATTTGCCCCCAAAACCCCAATATCCTCAGAAACACATAAATATTCCCCCCAAAATTCCAAATTTCCCTCACAAAATCAAAAATTATCCCATAAAATCCCCACAAATCCCCAGCAAATTCCAAACTGTTTCCAAAATGTTCAGTTTGCCCAAATTTCCTATTTGACCCAAAATTCTCAGTATTCTAACCAAGATTTCTACTATTCCCCCCCCAAATTCCAACTTTTACCCAACGAACTCCCAATATTCCCCTAAATTCACAACAACCTTTCCCCAATCACAAATTATCACCCCAAAATTCCCACTTTTTCCCCCTTTATCCCTGAATTTAACCCCCAAATCCCCATTTCTCCCCAAAATTCTCAATTTTCTCCACTAAAAACCCAACTTATAACCAGCAGCCATTGTCCTGGTTTGGCTGGGGGGTGTCCACACCTGTCACCTGGAAGTCGTCCACCCGAACGACCCAGCGTCCCAGGACCTTGACGTTGGAGGTGGTGGTGATGTTGATGATGGCATCAGTTTGGGATCCGGGAATGTTGTAGAAGTTGGTGTCATCACCGCTATTGAATCCCACCTGGAAAATTGGGGGGGAATTCAGGCGGGCTGAACTCACCCAAAGGGGTGGTGGGCCCCCAAAATGATGTTGGGATGTGAACATGTTTAGTGTGGACCCCAGAAATCACATGGACCTATCACTATCATCATCATCATCTCCAGGAGAAGGGTGGACAACCTCCTATCTTCATCATCATCATCATCATCATCATCATCATCATCATCATCATCACTCTCATCATTTTTGTTTTTCAGTAGTTGGGATGGACGAACTTTTGAATTTCATCATCATCACTTCCAAAAGATCAGACTGGACAACTTGACCTTCCCAAAAAATGTTGTGGGCCAATTCTGGATCTTTATCATCCCCAGGAAATGGGATGGGCCAATCGCTGACCTTCACCACCATCATCATCCTCAGAAGATGGAGTGGGACAATCTCCTCCCCCTTCTCCTACACCCTCCCCACCTACATGCGCTGGGGTCCCTCCGAGTCCTGTCTCAGCGTCCCCGTCACTCGCCGCCCCCGTGGTCCACTGGATGTCCCCGTAGTTGAGGATGACGTAGAACATTTTGGAGTCAGTGGTCAGCACAGCCTGGAAGGTGTTTCCCTACGGAAAAGGTCACAGAGGTCAAGGATGGGCCATGAAGGTCAAGGATGGGCTCTAAAGGTCAGCCATTGGTCAGTCACCATGGCCACCAAGCGGTCACCAAGAGCCAAGGAGTGACCTCCAT